CTATTATTTTCTGTTCTATTCTTTTCTAATTTATTCTATTCAAATTAAAATTTTGGAAGACAGTTATATTCTTTTTTATTTTATTATATTATATTATATTGAATTCTATTCTATTGTTTTTTCTATTCTATTTTTTTCTATTCTGTTCAAATTTGAATTTATTCTACTCAAAATTCAAATTTCAGAAGACAATTATATTCTTCTATTTTATTCTTTTCTATTCTATTCTAATCTATTCTATTATTTTATATTGTATTATACTCTACTGTTTTTCTGTTCTATTCTATTATATTCTGTTCTTTTATGTTCTACTCTATTCTTTTCATATTCAAATTCGATTTGAATTCAATTTGAATTTGTTTTTAATTGTGTCCGGATTTCGCAAAACAGTTATAGTTTTTCTATTTTATTCTATTCTATCGAATTCTATTCTATTGTATTTTTCTATTCTATTCTATTCAAATTTGAATTTATTCTACTCGAAATTTAAATTTTGGAAGACAGTTATATTTCTTTCCATTTTATTCTTTTTATTCTATTCTTTTATCCTAACCCTCTTGTATTGAACTGTATTGTTGCTGTATTGTGTCTCGTTATATTGTAAAACGCTGAGCAAACTATTGGCGCTATATAAATCCTGTATAATAATAATATTGTATTTTATAGTATTGTTGTTTTTCTGTTCTATTCTTTTCTAGTCTATTCTTTTCTATTCTATTCTGTTCTTTTATGTTCTACTCTATTCATTTAATATTTGAATTCTATTCAAATTCAATTCAAATTCGATTTGAATACTGTCTGAATTTACTTTCGCTATTTCCGATTCGTTACTCATGTAATTTGGAAATTCAGAAACATCCGAATGTCCATGTGACATAATGCAAAAACAAATTAAATAAAAAATAATAATTTAAAAAATGTGTCCAAATTCAAATTTATTTCAGGTACTTATATAGCGCCATCAATTTACACAGCACTTTACATATATATTGTACATTCACATCAGTCCCTAACCCTCAAGGGGCGTACAATCTAAAGTCCCCAACTCACATTCATACATACACATACTAGGGCCAATTTAGACAGGATCCAATTCACCTACCAGCATGTCTTTGGAGTGTGGGAGGAAACCCACGCAGGCACATGGTGAACATGCAAACTTCAGGCAGGTGGTGCCATGGTTGGGATTTGAACTGGCGACCCTAGTACTGCCAGGCGGAAGTGCTAACCACATAGTCACTGTGCTGCCCACTGCATGTCTATTGTCAGTATCAGGATTCTGGTCCAGAGCAATGATGCACAGCAGACGCTGGAACGAGGAAGTGTTTGCAAGAGTCTGGGGGAGATCAGCAGCACTGAGCCGCAACAGATGATTCACAAAATGGTGAAAAGACTATTTCGGAAAAATGATGGCGACTGTTTATTATACGCAGTGCTTTATCAAACTAAACGCCATTCAGTTGGGGTTTACATGTACTTTTGTCACCACTGGCTGTCTAGCAGCTCCATATGTTTTATGATTTATAAGGAAGCCGATGTTTTCTTTTGAATGTAAAGACGCATCAGCAGGATATCACGTGATCCTGTGTAAATTTACTTTAGATTTTTATTATGACAGGCGATCTCCTTCCTGAGTGCACCTAATGTATTCTATAGTCATCAGTAAGTGAGCTCTTCCTGAGAACACAACGCTGCCTTGTTCTCCGCTCCGCTCTTATGTAACCGTTCACAAGGCGCTGACACTTTTCCAGGAATTTCCAGCGTAATCGTTTTCTAGAACTGCACATAGATATAGGTACCAACCTGCGCCCTGGGATTGGGAAATGGCCGAGGAGTAAACTCCGGATGTAGACAGGTCAAGCAAAGTATTTCATGCTACAGTGACAGTATTGTACCGTGGAAGTCAATGATTGCTGCAGAATGTTTAGGGATTTCCCTTTATTGGTTAACTTAAAGTGTTACTGAACCCGCAGCAGTAAAATCAGTCTGTATATGCAGTAAAGCATGCTTGTGATGCTCACTGTGGAACCTAAGGGGTTAATCCTCTGCATTGTGTAAAAAGGATGGTTGATCCTGTCTTCTCAGATCCTCCCCTTCTTCTACTGTCCCCAATCCATCTACTGATAGAACAGAGCCTTGGGGGCAAGCTGCACATGATCAGTTTGGTGTGTACTGCTAGAAAGTTTGTTTTGTTTTCTTAGGAGATTAGCACAGGGCCAATCGGTGCTGTCCAGACAGAGGGTTAGGTGTCCTGCAGCCTCACTGGACAGTCAGAGGGGAATGAAAACCAATGTTGCTGTAATCTTTGGGGGTTAAAGTGTTACTAAACCCACAAAAGTAAAATCAGTCTGTGTCTGCAGTAAAGCATGCTTGTTATACTCACTGTGGAACCTAAGGAGTTAATCGTCTGCATTGTATAAAAAGGATGGTTGATCCTGTCTTCTCGGATCCTCCATTTCTTCTACTGTCCACAATCCATCTGCTGATAGAACAGAGCCTTGGGGGCAAGCTGCACATGCTCAGTTTGGTGTGTACTGCTAGAGAGTTTGTTTTCTTAGGAGATTAGCACAGGGCCAATTGGTGCTGTCCAGACAGAGGGTCAGGTGTCCTGTAGCCTCATAGGACAGTCAGAGGGGAATGAAAACCACTGCTGCCGTAATCTTTGGGGTTAAAGTGTTACTAAACCCACAACAGTAAAATCAGTCTGGAGATGCAGTAAAGCATGCTTGTTATACTCACTGTGGAACCTAAGGGGTTAATCCTCTGCATTGTGTAAAAAGGTTGTTTGATCCTGTCTTCTTTGCTCCTCCTCTTGTTCAAATATCCAGGTCTTGACTCCTGATAAGACAGACTGAACCAATAGCCATTCTGCACATTCTCAATTTAGTGTGTATTGCTAGAGAGGTTTTTCTTTTCGTGGGAGAGTGCATGTGATCAGCACAGGGCCAATCAGTACTGTCCAGACAGAGGTCAGGCATTAACCAGGGGCAGAACTAGAACGGATATTCCACCACTGTATTGCGCCAATACATGCTTGTTATACTCACTGCGGAACCTAAGGGGTTAATCCTCTGCATTGTTTAAAAAGGCTGTTTGATCCTGTCTTCTCGGATCCTCCCCTTCTTCTACTGTCCCCAATCCATCTGCTGATAGAACAGAGCCTTGGGGGCAAGCTGCACATGATCAGTTTGGTGTGTACTGCTGGAGAGTTTGTTTTTTTTTTCTTAGGAGATTAGCACAGGACCAATCGGTGCTGTCCAGACAGAGAATCAGGTGTCCTGTAGCCTCATAGGACAGTCAGAGGGGAATGAAAACCAATCCTGCTGTAATCTTTGGTGGTTAAAGTGTTATTAAACCCACAACAGTGAAATCAGTCTGTATCTGCAGTAAAGCATGCTTGTTATACTCCCTGTGGAACCTAAGGGGTTAATCCTCTGCATTGCGTAAAAAGGCTGTTTGATCCTGTCTTCTCGGATCCTCCCCTTCTTCTACTGTCCCCAATCCATCTGCTGATAGAACAGAGCCTTGGGGGCAAGCTGCACATGCTCAGTTTGGTGTGTACTGCTAGAGAGTTTTTTTTTTTCTTAGATTAGCACAGGGCCAATCGGTGCTGTCCAGACAGAGGGTCAGATGTCCTGTAGCCTCATAAGACAGTCAGAGGGAAATGGCCGAGGAGTAAACTCCGGATGTAGACAGGTCAAACAAAGTGTTTTATGCTACAGTGACAGTATTGTACCGTGGAAGTCAATGATTACTGCAGAATGTTTAGGGATTTCCCTTTATTGGTTAACTTAAAGTGTTACTAAGCCACAACAGTAAGATCAGTCTGTATATGCAGTAAAGCATGCTTGTTATACTCACTGTGGAACCTAAGGGGTTAATCCTCTGCATTGTGTAAAAACGCTGTTTGATCCTGTCTTCTCTGATCTTCCCCTTCTTCTGCTGTCCCCAATCCATCTCGTGATAGAACAGAGCCTTAGGGGTAAGCTAATAAATAAGAAAGAGATCTCAGCGCACTAACAGCTAATGTCCAGTGTTATATGTCCATAAATCCCAATAAAGTCTATGGCTAGTAAGCGCTTCAGATAGCAGCCATCTCAGAGTCTGCACATGCTCAGTTTGGTGTATATTGCTAAAGAGTTTTTTTTTCCTTGGGAGAGTGCATGTGATCAGCACAGGGCCAATCAGCACTGTCCAGACAGAGGGTCAGGGGTTATGCAGCCTCAAAGGACAATCAGGGGAGAATGAAAACTCCTCCGACAACCTTTAACCCCTTTGTGACGACGCCACCCGGCCCTTTAAGAGATTCAGAAGTCAGGAGGCGGGGCAGGCTTTTAGGGTCATGTGACAGCTAATCACGGTGGCCACATGATCGGAAAAGGTCCTGATCAGGACCTTTCCGTGAGTCACGGACATATGTGCAGGGCACGCACTCTCAGTGCATATGTATTTTCAAATGGTATGCAAATATGCGGCCGCTTGGTGTCAAGGCCCAGACGCCGAGAGGCTGCATATTTGCGTGCACTCGGCGTCTAGGGGTTAACCAGTGCTCTGATAGAAGTCACAAGACTGCTCTAACTGCTGATGAGAAAAGGTATTTAGCAGTTTATATTTACTAAAATAATTGCACTTCCATGTTCTGTATACTGTGGGAGACCAGATATAGTGAATGCAGGGTCCGGGGAGACCAGATATAGTGAATGCAGGGTCCGGGGAGACCAGATATAGTGAATGCAGGGTCCGGGGAGACCAGATATAGTGAATGCAGGGTCTGGGGAGACCGGATATAGTGAATGCAGGGTCTGGGAAGACCGGATATAGTGAATGCAGGGTCCGGGGAGACCGGATATAGTGAATGCAGGGTCCGGGGAGACCGGATATAGTGAATGCAGGGTCTGGGGGGACCAGATATAGGGAATGCAGGGTCCGGGGAGACCAGATATAGTGAATGCACGGTCCAGGGAGACCGAATATAGGGAATGCAGGGTCCGGGGAGACCAGATATAGTGAATGCAGGGTCCGGGGAGACCAGATATAGTGAATGCAGGGTCCGGGGAGACCAGATATAGTGAATGCAGGGTCCAGGGAGACCGAATATAGGGAATGCAGGGTCCGGGGAGACCGGATATAGTGAATGCAGGTTCCGGGGAGACCAGATATAGTGAATGCAGAGTCCGGATATAGTGAATGCAGGTTCCGGGAAGACCAGATATAGTGAATGCAGGGTCCAGGGAGACCAGATATAGTGAATGCAGGGTCCGGGGAGACCAGATATAGTGAATGCAGGGTCCGGGGAGACCAGATATAGTGAATGCAGGGAAGCGAAAACAAACAAAGAGCGCACCAACCTTGCGCATTACCTCAATAAGCCAAAATTTATTAATGACAGAATAATACTCACAAACACTGGACTAAGGGACTAAGGATAAAAGCAGCCTGCGCGAGTCCCATCAGAGGAGTGGACATTCAGGGAACAGCTGACGTGTTTTGAAGGACGAACCTTCTTCATCAGAGCTTCTTGATGAAGAAGTCAATAGGCCCCAGGAGCAGCAATACAAACACAGCAATCCAGGGGAGAGCACAGCTTGCCTTTGGAGTTTACTGGACAGCTAAGTATTATTAATACGTCTATTTTTCATTGCGATAAATATTTATAGAATCACACAAACTTTTGTTCCATACTTTAGGCCAATATGTCACTGTAATACAAAATAAATATAAACCTGCGCCACAGAAAAAAAATAAAGACATTTAAATGCTGCTGTTCTAAAAGAACAATAAAAATATAAACACTTCATAGCGCAAATAAATTATATATGAAAATTAAATTATTATAAATAAAAGTCCAAAAAAAATATATTTTTAAAATATATGAATTGTGCAAAATTTTTTGGGGTTTGAGCACAATTCATATATTTTAAAAATCTAAAAAAAAAAATGGGTGGACTTTATATATTTTTTTTTACTTTTACTTATAATAATTAAATTTTCATATATAATTTATTTGCGCTGTGGAGTGTTTATATAAATATGTCACTGTAACAGAAAAAAAAAAATCTGAGCAAGATATATAAAAAAAACAAAACAATAAGAGCAAAAAGTCCAAGCGCTAGGACCCAGATGTATGGGGGCCACTTGCCCACAGCTGCTAGTATCACACTAGACTAGAGGAAGCGATAAATAGTTGCAAGAAAACCAGCGCTGAGAAAGCTGCGGCTTGTAATCAATACTCACCCCGCAATGGGTATCATCAGGGGTATACTTTTATTCCATAGTACTTCATAAAAAGCATTACATTAACCACTTCCTGTCTGGCCCATGTAGATAAACGGTCAGATAGAAGCGCTGCCGAAGCAGGTTGACATTTCTAAACGTCACCCGCGTTCACTGCCTGTGCGCGCTCCCCGGTGTATGATCGCTGTACGCGACCTCTGTGTGAGGTCCCGATTCATGTGATCGTTGATTGTCCAATCAGTGATCACATGAGCAGTAGTAATGTCCGCTTGGTGATGGTGATAATCGCGGTGTATTGCTGTCTCGGCCGGGGACCGCGGCGCTCCGCAACTGATATCACAGGGTCCCAGGAGGATGCGGAAGTCGACCACTGGGCTTGGACCGCAAGCTTCGCTGGTAACCACGACAGCGCGTTTCTCGCGCACGCGCTTTATCAGTTCGTGGACATCAGTGGTTACCAGCTTATTTATAAATGGGAACACAACAATTGGGCTGGCGTTAACCAGAGGAGGAAATAGAACAGATATTCCACCACTGTATTGCGCCAATACATCTGCAGAGTCCCCTAAAAGCCAGATTGATTAATACACAATTATCTATATTGTATTATAGTAATCCATAAAAGATAAAATTATGTATATAAACATATCAAAAATTGAAATATACATATATAAACAATTTATAACTTGTGCGACAATCTCCTAACACAGAAAGGCTTCTTCACAGTAAGAGCTGTGAAAATGTGGAATAGACTCCCTCAAGAGTTGGTTCTGGCCAGCTCAGTGGATTGCTTCAAAAAAGTCCTGGATTGTTTCTTAGATACACAGAATATAACTGGATACTAACATGTGTAGGTAAAGTTGATCCAGGGAATATCCGATTGCCTCTCGGGGGATCAGGAAGGAATTTTTTTCCCTGCAGGAGCAAATTGGATCGTGCTTTGTTGTTTTTTTTGCCTTCCTCTGGATCAACTGTGGGTATAGGATTATAACTTTTTTTTTTACTGGTTGAACTGAATAGACTTTTGTCTTTTTTGAGCCAGACTAACTATGTAACTATGACAGAGTTTGTGGTATATGTACTCTCTTGTCCATGTAATTTATTGTATGTAGGCCGCACCATACGCCCTTTATGGAAACGTATTGGTGAACACCGTAGGCTTATTAAAGACGGATGTGATAAACACAGCGTTCCCCGACATTTTCTTCAAGCCTATGGAAAAATGTTTGAGGATCTTGAAGTTATGGCAATTGAGCACATTGAGAATAGATCCTTGACAGATAACGAAAGATTTTCTCTCTTATGTAAGAGAGAAACGTTTTGGATATTTAAATCGGGCTCAATGTCTCCAAATGGTCTCAATGAAGATCTCGGCATCCATAGTATCCTTTAAATCTTGTCTTTTGAATTTTATATAATTGGTTTTTGACATCTAGTCAAAATATAGTAGTTTTGTACCTAGACTATTAACATCATTTTTGTTTTTTAATTTTTTAAATCACATATGTTTTTTATTGTAGCATTCTGTATATTAATTAATTTAAAGTTCATTACAATCCAATATTTTCTAATAAGAGTTTTTTGTTGCTTTTGAAAGTATGAATTTTTTATTATTTGCATATTGTATGTTTACATTTTTGATATAAGTTTATATACATACAGGTGACCCTTGGTTTATGAATTTAATCTGTTCTGAGGGACTTTTCATATTGCGAAAAATTCGTAAACCGAAACGCGGATTCCCATAGGAATGCATTAAAAACCAATTAATCCGAGTTCAGAAAAAAGTCCAAAAAAGTTTTATCTGTTCAAAATTCTTTATAAAGTGCACTTTAACCATTTGCCACCCGCCCTATGGCCGAATGGCGGCCGGCAAATGTCATCAGCGTTCCGGGTGGACGCCATATGGCATCCTCCTGCACATGCGCAGATTGCTCTCCTGCAGCAGCACGATCTGTCACCGGCCCTGTACCTCGGACACGGCCGATGACAGATCTGAGTATCGGCCCCCGTTGCCGGTACCATGTGACCTGCTGTGACCAATCACAGCAGGTCACATGACAGTTGTATACAATGGATGGCTTCATTCATGCCATCCATTGTATACTAGTGTCTAGCTGTGAATGGTCACAGCTAATCACATGCACATGTCATGTGATTAGCTGTGGCCAAATCACAGCTAAGCACAAAAAAAAAAAAAACCCTGAATGAATCGATGTCATTCAGGTAAATGCTTGCTTATAGCAAAGTAATTCTTTGTTATAAGCAAATTGTGAAAAAAAAAAAAAAATTGATCACTTCCCCAAAGTAGTACAATGTTACTATGGTAACATTGTACTACTTTGGTCATAGTGAAATATGAAAAAAAAATCTTAAAAAAAAAAGAAAAAAAATGTAATAAAAAATAATAAAAAAAAAAAAATATTTATTTTTTTTTTTTTTTTTCATACTGTCACCAGTCAGTGTCCCTGATCACCGCCATGCAGTTATATGATGACGCTGTACTGCACTGGTGACAGTATGTAAAAAAAAAATAGTGAAACTAATTTTTTTAATTTTGTAATTTTCCGAAAAATTATGACAAAAAAAATACAACTTCAAAAAACTCGCCATTCCTCTTATGAAGTACGTCAGACTGTCTACTTTGCAAAAAGGGGTCATTTGGGGGATATCTGTACTGTTCTGACATTCTTGGACCTCAAGAAATTAGATTGGCTGTCAGTACTTCAGGATTGATCAATTTCAGATCTATACCATAGTTTGTGAACTCTATAACGTTCCTACAAACTAAAAAATACATCCTAATTTGGGTTATTTTCACCAAAGACATGTAGCAGAATACATCTCGGCCTAAATTTATGAAGAACAATTATTTATTTGCAAACTTTTATAACAGAAACAAAGAAAAACGTGTTTTTTTTTCAAAATTTTTGGTCTTTTTTTGTTAATTTAGCAAAAAATAAAAACCCTAGCGGTGATTAAATACCACCAAAAGAAAGCTCTAGTTGTGTGAAGAAAATGAATAAAATTTTAGTTTGGGTACAATGTTGTATGACCACGCAATTGTCATTCAAAATGTGAGAGCGCTGAAACCTGAAAACTGGCCTGGGCAGGAAGGTGTAAAATTGCCCGGTATTGAATTGGTTAAAGCGTAAACACTGTACAGGGATATGATTAAAAAAAATTGTAAATGCATTGAAAACCAATTAATCCGTTCCAGACGTCAGAAGTCAAAAAAAGTGTTATCTTCAAAACTCTTTATAAAGTGCACTTTAAAGGCATAAATATTGTACAGGGACGTGATTAAAAATCAATTAATAAATGCATTGAAAACCAATTAATCCGTTCAGAGGTCAGAAAAAAGTCAAAAAAGGTTTTATCTGTTCAAAACTCTTTATAAAGTGCACTTTAAGGGCATAAATACTGTACAGGGACATGATTAAAAATTAATTTGTAAATGCACTGAAAACCAATTAATCCATTCCAGAGGTGAGAAAAGGTTTAAAAAAATTTTATCTGTTCAAAATTCTTTATAAAGTGCACTTTAAAGGCATAAATACTGTACAGGGACATGATTTAAAAAAAAATTGGTAAATGCATTGAAAACCACTTAATCCGTTCGTATTGTGAAAACAATTTGTAAACTGAGGCATTATTTTCAATGAATTTTCATTCGTAAACCGAAAATTACATTAACTGAGGTATTCGTAAACCGAGGTATGCCTGTTATTTTATCTTTTATAAATTACCATAATACAATATAGATAATTGTGTATTAATCAATCTGCCTTATAGGGGACTCTGCAGATGTATTGGCGCAATACAGTGGTGGAATATCCGTTCTAGTTCTGCCCCTGGTTAACGCCTGACCTCTGTCTGGACAGTACTGATTGGCCCTGTGCTGATCACATGCACCCTCCCAAGAAAATAAAAACCTCTCTAGCAATACACACTAAATTGAGAATGTGAAGAATGGCTATTGGTTCAGTCTGTCATATCAGGAGACAAGACCTGGATATTTGAACAAGATGAGGAGCAAAGAAGACAGGATCCAACTTCCTTTTTAGACAATGCAGAGGATTAAC